ATGGACTGCCATGGGCCCCTGATGGACCCCCTTGATTACATAACTTGCGTCTACTACTACTGTGGCATCTCCTGCTGTTGACTGCAGGGCTCGGATTACTGCTAGCAGCTCTGCTCTCGGCACAGCTTGCCTGGGTCCCGCTACACTACCTCGCTTGGCCGCCTTGACTTCCTTTCCGACACAGGCGACGAACGACCGTCCAACTCTGCGGAGTCTGGCGTCTCGCGAGCGCCCACCTCCTGACGCATCGGAACCCTTGACGGTCTGGAGGGAGCGGTAGACGGTCGTATGCTGGCCACTCCCCTTCGAGTGTGACCTCTTCAGTTGGAAACGGGAGACCTGGCCCTGCCATGGTCTACAAAATTGGGACCAGACCTCTGCGCCAAAAACAGGGGTACCTATTTGTTCCTTCTACCGGCTGGGCCACTAGGTCACGGTCTTCACTAAGCTCTGGGATTTCGTTGTTGCTCGGGCATTCCCAAAACTGGCGAGCCAAGCTTTCTTCAAGGGCTCCACACCTTGGGCAACACGGTGATCCCAGGCGAGTGTTGTCAAACGTCAAACCTTCGTTTGGCAGGCCACAAGGCCCCTTGGCTGGCCATCCCTAAAACCGCCGCCAGATTACTGAGACCTTTCCGGCGCAAGCTCTTGAGGTGGGCCCAAGTCACAGTGAGATCCACACCGAACTCGGCCCCAGCACCCTCAAAATGTTTACTGGTTTGGGCCCACAAACTCTGCTCCAGGGCGGACCCTACCTCAAATTTTAGAAGATATGGTCCTTCTGGGCCCTCGAAGTTGAATTTCACCCCATTGGGCATGGTCCACTCGCCTGGCGAATTCGGGGTCCAATTCATATCTAGCAGTGTAGCCTGTACTGCTGCCAAGTGGCCCCGCACATGCTGCCAGCGGTTCTCCACTCCCTCCAGCTTCTGCCAGGACTCCTGCCACGCGAGGTTGGTCGCGTCGCGCCACTGAGCCATCCTAGGGAGGTGTTCCGGCCAGGACAAAAGGAGCTCCATGGGGCCCCAAAAAAGGGGATCGCTGGTCTTCCCTAGACTAATCCCAATGGCGGTGGTCGCACAGCCACCTGCCCACTTGCTACCACACATGGCTGAAACCTGAGCCCTAAGTTGTCTGAGAGTCGTGGGCGCAAGGCCCATGGCGACCGCTCCCCAAGAGACCTGGGGCTTGTGTCCCGTCTTGGCCAATGTGTTGGCCTCTCGGGCCACTCTACCCAAGAACTTGACCGCTTTGGCTCTCTGGGAGCCTTTCTTCTGTCTAGCTTTGATTACCCCTTGTCTCCTAGCCCCGCTGGTGACGTCGATCCCCAGGCCCCTGGTCTTTATCTCCACATTGACGGGAAGGTTCATCTCTTTGATCTTCTGGCGGAGGTCGGATCTGAGCTGCGGAGTACTGGCTAGCGCAACCGATTTCTTGGAAATTCTCAAGCTTTTTTGCCGTCATAGATCTGACAATAACTGCTGCCACTGAGGTAGCTTGTGTTAATACTGCACGATGGCTCCCAATATTGAGCTGCGCTAAGTCAACTTCCAATTTGATTCATGGGCGGCGGATATTTCCTGTGTACCTCGCCCATCATATCCCAAAGGTACATACGTGACCAAGCAACACTCTGCATGCATCCCGCGGTGATCGAGTTGTTTGAATGCACATTATCTGAAAGAAACCTGCCCACTGCCAACCACCTGTCTGCCTCCTCCTCCTCCTCCTCCGCCTCCTCCTCCTCTTCCTTATCATGTTCCTCATGGCCCTCCACCTCCTCCTATTCCTCCTCCTCCTCCTCCGCCTCCTCCTCCTCCGTTTCCTCCTCCTTTTCCTCCTCCCCATCCTCCTCCTCCCCCTCCTCCTCCTCCTCCTCCTCTTCTTCCTCCTCCTGCTCCTCCCTTTCTTCCTACTCCTCCTCCTCCTCCTCCTCCTCCTCCTCCTCCTCCTCCTTCACCTTCTCGTCCTCCTCCTCCTCCTCCTCCTCGCCCTCCGCCTCGTCCTCATCATCCTCCTCATTGTCCTCTTCGTCCTCTTCCTCCTCTCCTTCTTAGTATTCGTAGTATTCGTCTTATTCGTAGTATTGTTAGTCTCATTATTCGTAGTATTCGTACTCGTAATCTTATGATTCGTATTATTCTTATTCGTCTTACTAGTACTATGTTATTAGTATTAATATTAGTGTTATTATTGTTTATAGTAGCCGTCTTATGATTATTAGCAATCTTATTACTATTCTTATCATCAGTATCAGCCTTAGCCTGTGTATTATTCTTCGTATTTTCAGTCTTGATAGTAGTATTATTGGTATTCACATTATTTTTATTGTTCTTATTACTATTATCAATATCATTCGTCGTACTCGCCATCGTCTCGGTATGCTTCTGTGTATGACGATTAGTAGTGAAGTATGATGCGTGTTATTATTGTTGCATTCGGAATAGTCTTCTTCGTTTATTCATATTCGCAGTACTATGATCAGTTCTATTGCCTCTTATTATTACTCGTCTTATTAGTTTTACTGTTTGTGTTTTTAGTATTCTTCTTTTTACTCGAATTACCATTCGTACTATTATTCGTAATAGTCGACACCTTCTGATGATTATTAATGTTGTGTCTCTTACTAGTCGTATGCGTCTCATTCGTACTTGTAATTCTGAATCGTCTTATTATTCGTGTTAGTCTTGATATGTGTCTTACTTTTCTTATTCGTATGACTATTAATAACCTATTGTTCAGATTATTCATCGTATTCTTAATATTAGTATTCGTATTAGTATCATTCGTAATCGTATTCTTCTTCGTTGTTTTCTTATCATTATTTGCATTATTCGTAATATTATTCGTGTCCGTAGTATTATTATGTCTCGTTCTATTCGTCTTAGTAGTATTAGTATTATCAGTAATCGCACTTTTCTTCTTATTATTATTATGATGATGATGATCCCTCTTCCTCCTCTTCCTCCTCCTCCCCCCCTGTTTTCGGTGTTATGTTCTCCCCCGCGGGCGTTCCGCATCGGCACGCCAGTCCCGTCACACCCGTCGCACGGCGTGCACAGAGCGACGCGCACGGCCCCAACGACACAATCCGCATGCCCACCCCGCCAAAATCGGCGCAGCCGTCGCACGTCTGGTGCCCCAGAAGGAGATCCGCCGACGGCCCCCGCGACACACCCCGGACCCGCCCACTGCGGCACACCGTTCACACGCTTCGCGTCCCACAAAGAGCTCCACCTACGGCCCCAACGGTAAACCCCAAGCGCCACCAACCCGCCCCTGTCGGCACATCTAATCACACGCTTCGTGTCCCGCAAAGAGCTCTGCCCACGGCCCCCGCGGCGCACCCTGCATGCCACAGACCCGACAATTTCGGCACACCGCTCACACGCTTCGTGCCTCACAAAGAGCCCCACCTACGGCTCCAATGGCAAACCCCGCGCGCCACCGACCCGCGCAGTTCGGCACGCCTCTCACTAAGTAGAAGGTTGGAAAGGCCCGTGAGCCGAACTGAACCCCCAAATCGTTGATGGCCTCGGTCCGCATGCGCGAGGGTGACCGAGTTCCGTTAGCCAGGCTAGCCACATACATACAGATATATACATATTCATATGCACACCATGCGCTATAAGACTGGCCACGACGAAGGAGGCAGGCACGCGCGCGACGGCGGCGCGCCCTCTCCCAATGCGCCTCGCGAGCCACGAATGCTCGAGGCGCGACCTCCCTTTCACTTCGATCCTCGGGAGGAAATTCAAAATGAGCGCGCCCAGTGAGACCAGCCGGGGCTGAAGTGTCCTGGCAGTGGGCGCGGGACGGCGTCACGACCACACCCATGGACCGAAGCTAGGGCTGCAGGCGGAGGAAGCGCGATGAGCAAGGTGAGCCAGCGCGTTAGGGAAAGCGGCATGAAGAGCACCCGTGGAAGCAGGAGCGGCAGCATCCGAATGTTCATCACGATACCGAGAACGTGAGACGCTCCTGCACAGGAACGGCGCCAGCAGGATGCAGGAACACGGTTCAAATGGCCGCACGAGGAGCACGCGAGGGTCTGTGCCATGGCACGCGGGCTGCAGCAAAAGCACACCCCTCGCACAGGTCGTGCTCTAAGAAGAACGTCACCTACGGCCACCACGACACAGTCCGAACGCCGCCCCCCCGCCCATTCAGGCACGACCCTCACACGTTCAGTGCCCCACCTCGAATTCGCCGACCGCCTCCCCGCTCAATTCGGCACACCGCTCACACGGATCGAGGTTCACATACGGCCCCAGATACAAGGTTCGCATGCCGCCCCACCCCCCCCGCCCATTGCGGTGCACCCCGCACGTGGATTGTGCCCCGCATGGAGTCCCACCTATGGTATATGTGGGATAATTTGCTTCGCGTCCCGCTGGCCATTTCGCAGCGCACCCCCCACGCAGATCATTCCGGCACCCAAACTCACACGTTCCGTGCCCAGCAGAAAGTTTAGCGCGGATCTTCGCGTTTGCTCCGCTGTCCCATGTCCGCACTGTATATGAAGAAAGCGGCACGCTCTGCGCTACACGCTATTGCACAGGGCTGGGCCCTTCGCAACTGTAGGATAATCCCACCAGCCCTCGTGAGGCCAACCCCGTCTGCGCTGATCCCCCTTGCGCGGAACGTGTGCACGGGAGCTCAGAACGGACGCACCGCGCGGAACAGATCCACGGGATCGCGTCTCCATGGGATCATGCCCTGTTATCCAGACCGCGAGGGCATGGGTATGAGATGTGCACATGTTCATCGCTCGCGACCTGCGGGTGGCAGTCCTGGGCTGGTCGAGGCGAATCTTCGCGCCTTCGCGAGGCATAGCTTCTAGAACGGCAGCCCTGGCGCCGCAGCACGCGCGGAGCGCGGTGGACTTCGCGCACCCGCGGGTTCCTTAAGGCCACTCATGCTGCACATCTCCCCACGCCCCTCCTGGGGAAGAAGGGGACGAATACGAGACAATGTGGGCTGCGCTTATGCCCCCCGAGGATAACGGTAGAAGAAGGAGGCGTCCAGGAACGGAATGCCCATCCTGCCGCCGCTGACGCCCCAGTACCCCAGCAGCCCTCCTGCAGCCACGTTGTGCATCAGGGAGCGCCGCCCGTGGAGGGCCTCCATGGGACACTGGAGCGCATGACCCGCCGATTCCCGGCTGGCGCGGGTGGGCAGGCGCGTGAGGCAGCTGGCTGTACAGCTACACCATATGAATACCGCTCTCCTCTCTCCCCTGGTGACGTCCAGGAAATATTCGGCCCCCCTCCGCGCACTGGTCTCTTACGCGCAGGGTTCCAGGGAAACGGGTTTTCGCTTTCTTGTTTTTCCTCTCCAAAATGTTGCTCTCGCTGCAGCGCCGGCCTCATGTCCGCGCTTCCGCTCGTTCCGAATCGTGCTCCCGCTGCAGCGCTGGCGTCATTATTTCCAGCGCCATGCCACGGTATGGTTTTCGGTCCTTCCAAGTAGGCCCCACAATCTAGAAATGGCCCCCCGAAACAACCATCCGAAGTGATTACACATTCGGTGTCGATTCATTGATTTGGGGCCGCAGAAGCCCCCCACACTCTGGGGCGTCGCCACGCCATGCTATGTCAGGCTACGCGTTGATCTTCAACACCATGCAATGCCATGCAATGCTACGCCCTGCTACGACATCCGACTGTGCGAATAGAGAGGAGATCTACGCCATGGTAAGGGATGGGAGGGAGGGGTAGGACGTCAGATCAGACGCGAGCGCACCTAGCTTGCTCCCCTTCCTCTCTTTCCCTCCCCCAAGTTAAAAATGCCGTTTGAGGGGGGGCCTCACCAAGCGGGGCCTTTAGGATGCCCGCGACGCTTTCTGAGACTGCTCAAGAAGGGCTCCAACACGCTCGAGAGGCCACAAGAGCACTCAGCATAGCCTCAAGACGGCCCAAGAGAAGCCCCGAGAGGGCCTCAAATCAGCGATTTCCCGAGAGGCAGAAATCAATGATTGCCGCATTGGAATATGCCCGCGTTCTCGCCCATTTGGGCTTATGCTAGCCCTAGGCGGCCCGCGCGGCCTCCCCAGACTGCCCCATGACAGCCCCAAGAGTCCCCGGGAGCGCCCCGAGACGGCCCGAGAGGGCTGCAAGACGGCCCAAGATGCCCCCGAGACGGCCAACAAAAACACCTTCGATGGGGGGCCCAAGAGAGGTCCACGAAGGTGACCTCGCACGGAACCCGGGAGCCCTCCCCGAGATGGACCCCAAGACCACCAAGGAGCCCCCAGCAGCCCGGAAAAGGCTCCCGCGAGGCCGCCCCCGAGGCCTCCGATGGGGCCCCCCAGAAGAAGCCGCGCCGCGGACGCGGAGATAGAGAACAAATCAGCACGACTGAGAGCGGCAAACAGAGACGAAGTGGGAGCCCACGCCTGTCCTTAGGTCGGGCGTGTCCCCCTCCAGGCGGATCTTGTACGTCATCTTTTGAATACTACCGAGGAACCCCTATATACTTAGATTATGGCTGGAGTGATGATAGCTGAAGTGAAGCATGTGAGAATGATGCTGGTGGCCGTTCCCTGCGCACCCCCTCTGGTGTCGAGAAAGTGCCACGCCTGCCACGCTCTCCGACCCTGGCACGCATAGAGGCCGTGCTGAGAGACCACCCCCTGCGCACCCCCCCTCTGATGTCGAGAAAGTGCCACGCCTGCCACGCTCTCCGAGCCTGGCACGCATAGAGGCCGCGCTGAGAGACCACCCCCTGCACACACCCTCTGGCCCCCTCTGGTGTCGAGAAAGTACCACGCCTGCCACGCTCTCCGACCCTGGCACGCATAGAGGCCGCGCTTAGAGACCACCCCCTGCGCACCCCCTCTGGTGTCGAGAAAGTGCCACGCCTGCCACGCTCTCCGACCCTGGCACGCATAGAGGCCGCGCTGGGAGACCACCCCCTGCGCACCCCCTCTGGTGTCGAGAAAGTGCCACGCCTGCCACGCTCTCCGACCCCGGCACGGATAGGGGACGGACCACCACCCCCTGCGCACCCCTCTGGTGTCGAGAACGTGCCACGCCTGCCACGCTCTTCGAGCCTGGCACGCATAGAGGCCGCGCAGAGGGACAACAACCTGCGCACCCCCTCTGGTGTCGAGAAAGTACCACGCCTGCCACGCTCTCCGACCCTGGCACGCATAGAGGCCGCGCTGAGGGACCACCCCCCGCGCACACCCTCGGGTGTCGACAAAGTGCCACGCCTGCCACGCTCTCCGAACCTGGCACGCATAGAGGCCGCGGTGAGAGACCACCCCCTGCGCACCCCTCTGGTATCGAGAAAGTGCCACGCCTGCCACGCTTTCCGACCCTGGCACGCATAGAGGCCGCGCTGAGGGACCACCCCCCGCGCACCCCCCTCTGGTGTCGAGAAAGTGTAACGCCTGCCACGCTGTCCGACCCTGGCACGCATAGGGGACGCGCTGAGGTATCACCCCCTGCGCACCCCTATGGTGTCGACAAAAACCCACACCTGCTGTGCCCTGGACGACCGTCGTGCTGTGCTGTGCTGTGCTGTGCGGAGCTGTGCTGTGCGGAGCTGTGCTGTGCTGAGGTGCTATGCACAGGCAGTGCTGTGTTGAGCAAAGCTGTTCTGAGCTAAGCTGTGCTGTACTGTGGTAAGTTGGGCCCGTGACACGCACGTCTTGTATACGGCATGCCATGCGTATGTGTATGATGCGTGTGCGGCCGTATCGGGACGTGTGCCTCATGTGTGTGTGCCCATGATGCAGTCGTGGGTGTATGATAGTGAACACGCCAGGGGTGCACTAGTTTTGTATGGTGTGTGTGTGCGAGTGTGTGCGTGCGTGCGGCTGTATGTAGACGCGTGTCTCATGCACGTGCCGTGCAGGTGTTGCGTGTGGGTGAGGAGAGGAAGAGGGAGGAGGGGAAGAGAGAGGTGAGTGAGCGTCGCGGGTGCGACGCGGCAGGGAAGAAAACCAGAACCCCACGAAACATGTGGGGAAAGAATCAAAACACGCTTTAAAACAGTCAAGAATAAGATACCGGAGAAAAAACACATCAAAGTCATGTTAGTGCTACAGGGCTATGGAACTATTGGGCTATAGCGCGATGGGGCTATGGGGCTATAGGGCTATGGGGCTATAAGGCTGTGGGGCGATGGGGCGATGGGGCTATAGGGCTATGGGGCTATAGGGCTATGGGGCCATAGGGCTATAGGTTTATAGGGCAATAGGGCTATAGTGCTATAGGGCCATAGGGCCATAGGGCTGCAGGGCTGTAGGGTTATAGGGCTATAGGGCTATAGGGCTAATTATAGGGCTATAATGCACCCAGGCACCCGGGCACCCGGGCACCCAAGCACCCGGGCACCCAGGCACCCAGGCACCCAGGCGCCCAAGCACCCCGGCTATAAGGCTATAAGGCACCCAGGCACCCGAGCACCCAGGCACCCGGGCACCCCAAGCACCCTGGCACCCAAGCACCCGGGCTCTGGGGCTATGAGGCTATACGGCTATAGGTCCATAGGGCTATGAGTCTATAAGGCTATGGGGCTATAGGGCTATAGGACTGTAGGGCTATGGGGATATAGGGATGTAGGGCTTTGGGGCTATAGGGCTATAGGCATATAGAACTATAGGGCTATAAGGCTATAGGGCTATAGGGCTGTAGGGCTATGAGGCTATCAGGCTATATAGGGCTATACGGCTATAGGGCTGTAGGGCTATAGGGCTATAGGACTATAGGGCTATAGGGCTCTAGGGCTATAGGCATTTCGGACTATAGGGCTATAGGGCTATAGGGCTATGGGGCTATATGGCTATAGGGTTATAGGGCTATAGGGCTGTAGGGATATAGGGCTATAGGGCTATAGGGCTATAGGCTATAGGGATATAGGGATGTGGGGTTATAGGACTATAGAGCGATAGTGCTATAGGGTTATAAGGCTATAAGGCTATAAGGCTATAGGGACATAGTGCTATTGGGCTATAGGGCTATTGGGCTGTAGGGCTCTAGGGCTATAAGGCCATAGGGCTATAGGGCTATAGGGCTATAGGGCTATAGGGCTATAGGGCCATAGGGCTATAGGGCTATCAGGCTATAAGGCTATAAGGCACCCAGGCACCCGAGCACCTGGGCACCGGGGCGCCTGGGCACCCGGGCACCCGGGCACACGGGCACCCGGGCACCCGGGCACCTGGGAACCTGGGCACCTGGGCACCCAGGCAGCCACCGAAATCGGTGGCAAACCTAATTTAATGATACCGGAGAAAAAAACCATCAAAGTCTTTTTAGGGCTATAGGGCTATGGGCTGTATGGCTATAGGGCTATGAGGCTATAGAGTTATGGGGCTATAGAGCTATAGGGCTCTAGGGCGATAGGGTGATAGGACTATAAGGTTATCAGGCTATGGGGCTATAGGGCTATTGGCCTATAGTGCTATAGGACTATTGGGCTGTGGGGCTATAGGGCTGTAAGGCTGTAGGGCTATAGGGCTATAGGGCTATGGGGTTATAGGACTATAGTGCTACAAGGCTATGGGGCTATAGGGCTATGGGGATATAGGGCTATAGTGCCACAGGGATATAGGCATATCGAACTATAGGGCTACAGGGCTACAGGGCTGTGGGCCCATAGACCTATAGGGCTATATGGCTATAGGGCTAAAGGGCTATAGGGCTGTAAAACTATAGGGCTACAGGGCTATAAAGGCTACAAAGCTATAGGGCTACAGGGCTATAGGGCTATAAGGCTATAGGGCTATAGGGCTATAAGGCACCCAGGCACCCAGCCACCTGGGCACCCGGGCACCCAAGCACCTGGGCACCCAAGCACCCAGGCACCCGGGCGGGCCACGGAAATCGGTGGCAAAGCTCACCTAACCATATGAACCCGCTAGGACCCCTACAAAGGCTAGCTCTGATTAGGGAACCACATGAATCCGCTATGACCCCTACAGAGGCAAGCTCCGATTGGGGAAATAGAAATCGGCCTCAGACTATTTTTTCCTATTTTCGAAAATTCCTCCTG